GTCCGGCTAATGTTTTCTTATATATATTAGTTGGCCAATTAATTCTTTCTATTTATAGTAGAGACAGGGTTCCACTCTTGCTCAGGCTGGTTTTGAACTCCTGACCTCGAGCAATCCGCCGCCTCGGCCTCCCAGAGAGCTAGGATTACAGGCGTGAGCCACCGCACCCGGCCTGCCTGTCACTTCTTACTCCCGACACAGTGCTCAGGGCTGCGGCGCCGGCGAGTCTTGAAATCTGGTCGTGTAGGTCCTTCGCGCCGCTTCTCTCTAAGAAACAGTCTTTGATTTTCACAGAATCAGTTCATCAGTTTCTGCCAAAAATCGCTAGGGTATTGGCTGTGAGTGCGTTGGATGTGGCTTCTGCTCTGCTCTGGCTTGGGTCTCTTCTAGCAGTTTTTTCCCTCTGCCCCCCTAGGACCTGTCTCCTCCACGGCTCCTGGAACTGCTCCAACTGCTGGCCTGAGGAGGTACACGCGGCAGTCCTGCCCTGGGCTCGCTTTCCATGGCGCTGGATGTGCGGTGCCATTTATCCTACCAGGAACCGCAGGAGGTGGGCATTAGCTCCACTTTGGAGATGAAGACATGCTCAGAGAATGCAAGTGCTTGACCAAGGTCTCCACTGGGTTTTAACCCAATAAATTAGGTGCAGGTTTTTTCTGGCTGCTGTGACCAAACTTCAAATGTAATGGCTTAGATAAGGTGGGTGCTGCTTCTGCTGGGGATAAGCAGTGCCGGGCTCTGCAGTAACAGGCCAGGCACCCTCTCCTCCTGTGATCTTATTTCCTGCCGTTCTGATAACACTTTCCAACTCTGGGTCCAAGATCTGCTCCAGTTCCCACCACCATGTGGCATTCCTACCTAGAGGAAGGAGGGAAAGAAGGGGGTAGGCAGTTTCCTTTTCTTTCCCCAGTTCAACAAGTATGTCTTGAGCACCTACTATGTGCTGGATCCTATTCTGGACACTTGGATTCATCAGTGAGTAAAACAAAGATCTCTGCCTCTGCCCTCATAGCACTTTCATCCCGGCAGGGATAGTCAGAAATAACAACACAGGGAAATGAGTAAACTCTAGTATGTTTGAAGGCAGTAAATGCAACGGGGGAAGGAGGATAGAAGAGGTGGGGGACACGGGTGTACGTGCGGGGTGGGGCAGGTGGCACTACATAGGTGGGGCTCAGCAGAGGCTGGCAGAAGCCTCTGCCCTGGTGTGGGAAGGGTGTTCCAGACAAAGGGAAGAACCAGAGAAAAACTCAGACGGGAGCACACCTGGAGCACTCAGAGAGTAGCCCAGAGGCCAGTGTGCTGGGGCGGTGTGAGGGCAGGACTGCGGGAGGTGGAGCCGGGGTGGGGGGCACCACAAGGTGGACCCTCTAGGGCTGTGCTGTGCAAATGGTAGCCAGTTGCCTAAAATAATTAAATTAAGCCTTCAGTTCTTCAGTCACACTAGCCACATTTCAAGTGTTCGATGGTCACAGGTGACTAGTGGCTACCACATTGGTCAGCACAGGTATAAAACATTTCCATCACCACAGAAAATTCTGTTGGAGAGCACTGGTCTAGGACCTTACAGGCTGTTTTGAGTACTTCGTTTTTTTTCCTTTGAAATGGAAGCTCCTTTCCTTTCAAGGATATTAGCAGGGAGTTACACACTTCCTTTCTACGTGCTTCCTGTTGGACAGGATCACATGGCCACACCTAGCTGCAAGAGAGGCTGGGAGTCATGTGCTCAGCTAAAATTTATATGATTATCCAACTATCCAAAAGGAGGATGCCTAGCAGGGGACCAGTTAACAGTCTCTGCCACCCCCAGTCTGGTGAACCCCAAAGCATTCTCCTCTCTGCACTGCTCTGTCTTTAGTCTTGGGAGGCACTTCTCTGAGAAAAGAACCTGGAAATCACACCCTAGTGATCCCAGGGTCTAGGTGATCCCTGAGGTCTAGGAACCAAGTTGAGCAGTCAGCTGCCTGCTCCTCCTTAGGGATTCATAAATCCAGTACCCCCCCCCCAGCCTGTTTGGGGGTTCTCACAGCTGACCCTCAGGCGTCACCTGACTCCTGATGCCAGCTAGGGGCAAGTCATGAATTACTGCCTCCTTTGGAGCCCGTCTACCTCTCCTCAGGGCTAATTGTCCCAGGACGGTTGTAAAGGAAGGTAGAGAAATTTTGTTTTGTAAGTTTAGTTTTCACTCTCCCCACTTTCTTTCTTTTTTCTTTTTTAGAGACAAGGTCCTGCTCTGTCACCGAGGCTAGAGTGCAGTGGCATCATCATAGCTCCCTGCAATCTCAAACTCCTGGGCCAGGTGATTCTTCTGTCTCAGCCTCCCAATCAGCTGGGACTATAGGCGTGTGCCACCACGCCTGGCTAATTTAAAAAATTTTGGTAGAGAGAGGGTCTTGCTGTGTTGCTCAGGCTGGTCTTGAACTTCAGGTCTCAAGCAGTGCCCCCACCTGGGCCTCTCAGAGTGTTGGGATTATAGGCGTGAGCCCCAGTGCCTAGCCTCTGCTCTCCCACTTTCTATGTACCCCTCGTCTGCAGGGACACTCCACACTGGACTCTTGCGGCTCCTGCTTCCTCCAAGGGAGTCAGTCTCCAGTCTCAGGGTGAGGACGGAGGGTGGTGCGCTGGGCAGAGAGCAATCGTGCCAGTTCCCCAGTGGTCAGACCTGGGCTGCAAGTTTGTTCTGAGAGCTCTCCAGAAGCCAAGATAACTTTGAGGCGGGATCACAAGTGCCTGCCTCGGAAACATCAGGGTAAGGAGGACCCTGGGCCCCCGGGGGACCAGCAATTCTGCATTGGGACCCAGTTTCCACCTCAACAGCAATCCCTACCATCCTGCCCACCCACTGTGTGACAGGCTGTGGTGTGTCCCTAGGTGTCTTATCCATGCGACCCTCCCAACAATCCAATGGTGCAGGTACCGTTACTGTCATCATTTTGCAGGTGAAGAAACTGAGGCTCTGAGAGGATAAGAAATGTGCCCAGAACTCAGCTGTCGGCCTGTGTGACCTCATGCTCACATGGTCAGCCAGCATGAGCTCAGCTAGCTCCCAGCCTCTCCTCCCTGCCACCTGCACCCAGCCAGCCACCCTCTCGCCGGCTGAGCCCCTCACCTCTCACCTGAGCTCCCTCCCTGCCTCCCACCCTACTTGGCCCATGTGGATCCCAGGCGAGGGGGACCACGTCCTCCAGATGTTCTGTACACATCCCTGTCTCATGTCCCCAGCCTATGCGTAAGCACAGGGACATGCAATTGAAATCTTGTTTAAACCAAGTCATCTTCTAGGGCCTGGCCTCTCCACTGCTACTGGACCCCAGGCGAGCGCCCTGCCCTCCCTGAGCTTCAGTTTCCTGACCTGTCAAATCGGACAATGACACTGTGATGCTGCATCAAGGCCGCGGCAAGCGTCGCAGCGGGGAGCTGGGAGCAGGACAACGCAGCAGCTCAGGAACGCCGCCTCCCCTACTCCCAGGTGTTCACAGGCATGTGTGTGAGTGTGAGGTTGGCCCCGACAGTTCCCCAGATTCTCTCTCGGCCTCTGACGCTGTGTCAAGGGTGTCGAGGGGCAGGGTGTCCGTCCTGGAAGCCCTGTGCTCAGCAGGGGAGAGTTAGAGACATGGGCGTCCCACTCCCTTTCCCCGCTGGCCCTGTGCTCTTGGACCCAGAGTCAAGACGCTGAATTCAGGACACGGTATTTATTGCCGCTCGACATGGTGAGGCCACCCTGGAAGATGGGTCAGGGCATGCCCCCTGCACCCCAGGGGCCAAAGGCCCTGGCCACCAGGGGCACAGTCTTCAACGGCTCTCAGGTGCTGCAGATGACATGGTGTGGGGGTCCCACGTGGTGGAGGGTGACGTTGGTGCCCGATGGCAGATGGAGGAGGAGGCAGAACTGGGGACGAAGCGTTGGAGCGTGGGTGTAAAAGAGCTCCTTACCCCCACCCTGAGACAGCCAGACCCCAGCAGAGAGCCCAAAACTGACTCAAACACACAGCCCCATCCTCTCCCCTCCCAAAGAACTACCTTTTTCAGCAATTCTAGGAAGCCGGACTCATAGGAAAAATTTGCCACAAAAGACTCCTTCAGCTTCAGTTGCAAAGTCATGCCTGGCCCTGGGGATCCGAAAACACCGCCTAGGACCTCAACACGGCCAAGTCCCTGGGGCGCAGGCACCCTGTGCCCGCCCGCCTGCAGTCGCTCTTCCCCACAACGCCCCTCAGAGCCCCCCAGAAGCTCAGGACTGGGGTGCCTCCGTCTCCCCTGCTCCCCACCCCGTCCTCCAGCCCCCACCTGCTCCACACGAGCCGCCGAGGAGGGTCAGGAGGAGGACGAGAGGCAGCCTGGACCCCATCGTGGCCACCTGGCTTCCGGGATGGGAGACGCCTTGAAGCGCCGTGGCTCCTCCACCCCACCCTGGGCACGGCTTCCGGGAGCGGGAGGCCATCTGGCGGCTGGATTTTCCAGTTCTCCCAGTGGGGCCCTTGGGACCCCGGCAGTCCCAGCCATGGCTCTGGGGAGAACAGAGGGTGGTCCCCTGTCCTGGACCTGTGCCGCGCCCTCCCCAAGTCTCCAGGCCTAAGGAGGTGGTGCTGGCCCCACAGAGAGACAGGGAGAGGGAAGTGGGGACCAGGGCGGTGTCCCTGCTGCGGGCTGCGCCCACACCTGGGCCTCTCAGGGCTCTTAGGGATTAATTATTAACTGCACTTAAATTTCTTCATTCTTGCCACCGAAGGGCTCAGGAATGTGGGCCCAAAAGGGAGGGGTGGATTAAGCCAATTTTCTTCCCAAACCCAGGCGTCCTGCTTTCCCAGCCTCAGTGGCCTCCTAGGCGAGGAATCTGGGTGACAGGGAACTTCCACCTGTGAACGCTTTGTTTCAGTCACTCTAGCACGTTCTAGATACTCAGGCGGAGACACGCGTCCCAGCGAGTGCCTCCCGGCCCCACCCTGTGCGCGGGGACGCCCACCTGCTCCCACCCGAGACCCTGGCGCTCGGGCGCTCAGAAACGCAAGCGCCAGGCGGACGCGTGGAGGGAATAAAGTGAGGCCAGAGACGGTAAATGGCTTGCTAAGGTCACTCAGCAGGTCAGTGGCAGAGAGACCAGAACCCAGCCCTCACCGCGCAGACACATGGGCCACGCTCAGAGGACGGAGGCCCAGCGCGTAAATCTGCGGGAACAGGAGCACACAGGGGCGGGCCTGCGGCTTCCCTCTGCGCCCGCTCCCTTCCCCAGGGCCGCCGGACCGAGCGCAGAGGGGCGGAGCCGCGGCGCGGGGCGGAGCGCAGAGGGGCGGAGCCGCGGCGCGGGGCGGAGCGCAGAGGGGCGGAGCCGCGGAGCCACAGCGGCCCGCGCTAAAATGTTTAACTTATGTAATTGTTTGGTCATGCTTCCAGCTCAGAAACTGATCATCTTAAAACCTCTTAGATGACTCTTGCTCTTTGCCATGTTTGGGCTGGTGGATTTGTGTGTGCTATTGAAGCAATCCTGTTTCCCTGAGGAGATGGGGTGGGCTGGGTCGGGACAGAGCCAGGAGGCGGTTGGCACTCGAGTCTCCCGGGGCCCCTTTGCCAACTCTGGATGCCTGTGCCAGGAGCACTGGCGAGCCAGCCCGAGTGGAGCGGCTCTCTCCCGGGTCCGGAGGCGCGCAGGCGTGGAGGGCCTCCGAGCCCGGTACCAACTCACAAGGCCGGCGGCCCGAGTGAGGCGTGTCTGGGCTCCTGGGTCCCTGGGGCTTGGCTGGTGGGAAAAGGGCTGGAGGGCAGATCCCATCCAGCAGGTGCTGGACAGGAGTGGAGGCAGAGGCCTTGACCTGCGGTTCCGTCACCTCTCAGTGCTGCTGCGAGAGCTCTGAGCCTGGGGCAGACCTCCTTCGAGGCGTTCGCTTGAGCCCCTGGGCACCCTGGCACTTGTGGGCCGTGGGCCCTTCTTTACCCCAGGTGCAGCAGCTCCCTTTGGCTGGGCCCAGGCTCCGCTAAGTGACACAGCTGCGAGGTCTACATGGAGCTGCAGGGTGAAGCAGAGGGAATGGGATGGAAGGGAATGGAGGGGAGGGTTTGGACAAGCAATGGTGGGAGGAAGGGAAGGGCCGGGCTCTTAAAGTGGGAAGGGGCTTAGAAGTGGAGAGGGGGGGAGGCCTGGCAGGCTGCAGATGCGGACCTTCGCACTGTTCTCTACCAGGGCCTGGTGGACCGCCCCAGACCCATCTGCCTCTGCTAGCGCCCGAAGCACAGTTCAGAACAGCTCGATGCTCATGACCAGGACCCCAGCCCGAAGGGGAGGGCCGAGACTCAGAGGCAGTCAGAAGAGTGAGTCGGGGAGGCTCACTGGGGGAATGGGTCGGGGCGGTGGGCCTCACACTGGGTCCTCACAACCTGGGTCGCTTCATCCTCCCCTCCTTGCCGCAGCTTGTCTTCGCTCCAGTTGGAGCTGTCGAAACTGGACAGGGCGCCTGGCACCTCCAGCAGCTGATGGATAGAGTCTCCAGCCTGGGGCTCGAGTGTCGCGCTGAGGACAACAGATCGGTTAAGCTGTCGGATGCCAGTGGGACATCAGAGCCACGTGGCCCACTGGCTTCATTTGTACGTGAACAGCTGGCTTTGGTCTCAGTGAGCTGGGGTCACTGACACACTCACGGTTAGCGCCGCCTCCTCCTGTGGTCGCACCGAATTTTGGGAATGAGAGATTCAGATAAAAGCTTTAAAAATCACAAACATGTCTGCTTGTGGTCCTTCTTATCCCCCTTTGCCCCTAGTGGTGACTTTCTGGTATTCAGGTGTCCCGCTGAGAGCTTGATCCGGGGAAAGAGAGGGCTTCCTCCCCTGGAGGAGAGGAGCTTTTTTGAGAAAAGGGTGGGGAGGTGCAGTGCCTGGGGGCCCCTGCTTCGCTGGCTGAGAGTGGGCCGGCTGCGGGCCCTTCCCCCTGCCATGTTCACAAACGGGAACTCCCTGCTCCCTGGCTTGCTTCCCAGAGGTGCAGAGAAGCAGTGATTCCCCAGGCCTGGAGGGCGGTGGGTTGTCCTGGGATGGTGCACACCTGAGACCCCCCGGTGCCAGAGACGCTGCCCAGCCCTGACTGAGTCGGCACACTCACAAAGGTACTCAGCGCCTGACACCGCCAGCACCACTCATCCCCAGTGGCACTCGGGCCTGGCTTCCCACGCCCAACGCGGTCCTGTGCAGCAGTCCCAGGGTACACGCGGCAGTCTGCCCTGGCTCGCTGCTTCCGCATGGCGTCTGGATGTGCGGTGCCATTTATCCTACCCAGCGAACCGCAGGAGGTGGGGCATGTAGCTCCACTTTGGAGATGAAGACAGCTCAGAGAATGCAAGTGCTTGACCAAGTTCTCACTGGTTTAACCCAATAAATTAGGGCAGGTTTTTCGGCTGCTGTGACAACATTCAAATTTAATGGTTAGATAAGGTGGGTGCTGCTTCTGCTGGGGTAAGCAGTGCGGGCTCTGCAGTAGAAGGCAGCACCCTCTCCTCCGCTGTGATCTTACTTTCCTGCCGTTCTGATAACACTTTCCAACTCCCTGGTCCAGATCTGGCTCGCAGTTCCCACCACCATGTGGCATTCCTACGCTAGAGGAGTGAGGGACAAGAGGGTAGGCGTTTCCTTTCTTCCCAGTTCACAAGTTGTCTTGAGCCACACCTACTATGTCTGGATCGTATCTGGCACTTGGATTCATCCATCGAGTAAAACAAAGATCTCTGCCTCTGCCCTCATAGCACTTTCATCCGGCATGGGATAGTCAGAAATAAAACACAGGAAATGAGTAAACTCTAGTATGTTTGAAGGCAGTAAATGCAACGGGGGAAGGAGGATATGAAGAGGTGGGGGACACGGGTTACGTGGGTGGGGCAGGTGGCAAGGCTTACATAGGTGGGGCTCAGCAGAGGTGGGCAGGAAGCCTCGGCCGCTGGTGTGGGAAGGGTGTTCCAGACAAAGGGAAGAACCAGAGAAAGACTCAGACGGGACCACCCTGGAGCACTCAGAGAGTAAGCCAGAGCCAGTGGCTGGGGCGGGTGGGGTGGCAGGACTGCGGGAGGTGGAGCCGGGGTGGGGGCACACAAGGTGGACCCTCTAGGGCTGTGCTGTGAAATGGGTACGCCAGTTTGCCCAAAATAATTAATATAGGCCTTCAGTTCTTCATCACACTATGCGCACAATTTCAAGTGTTCGATGGCACAGGTGACTGTGGCTACACATTGGTCAGGCCGGTATGAAACATTCATCACACAGAAAATCTGTTGGAGAGCACTAGGTCTAGGAGCATTACAGGCTGTTTTGAGTACTATCCGTTTTTTTTCCTTTGAAATGGAAGCTCTTTCCTTTCAAGGTCATTAGGCAGGGAGTTACACACTTCCTGTTCTACGTGCTTCCCCTGTTGGACAGGATCACCATGCCACACCTAGCTGCAAGAGAGGCTGGGAGCCCGCCCCCCTCATGTGCTCAGCTAATTTATGATGATTATCCACTATCCACAAAGGAGGATGGCTAGCAGGGGACCAGTTAACAGTCTCTGGCCACCGCCAGTCTGGTGAACCCAAACATTCTCCTCTCTGGCACTGCTCTGTCTTAGTCCCCTTGGGAGGCACTTCTCTGAGAAAAGAACCTGGAAATCACCACCCTAGTGATCCCAGGGTCCTAGTGATCCCTGACGGTCTAGGAACCAAGTTGAGCAGTCAGCTGCCTGCTGTCCATCCTTAGGGATTCATAAATCAGTAACCCCCCCCCAGCTGTTTGGGGTTCCACAGCTGACCCACAGGCGTCCCTGACTCCCTGATGCTGCAGCTAGGGCAAGTCATGATTACTGGCTCCTTTGGAGCCGCTCTACCTCCGCCATCAGGGCTAATGTCCCCAGACGGTTGTAAAGGAAGGGTGAGAAATTTTGTTTTGTAAGGTTTAGTTTTCACTGCTCCCCACTTTCTTTCTTTTTTTTTTTAGAGACAAGGTCCTGCTTGCTCACCGAGGCTAGAGTGCAGTGGCATCATCATAAGGCTCCCTGCATCTTCAAACTCCTGGGCCAGGTGATTCTTCTGTCTCCAGCCTCGCCATCAGCTGGACTATAGGGTGCGCCTACCGCCACCTGCTATTTAAAAAATTGTTGGTAGACGAGAGGGGTCTTGCTGATGTTGCTCGGCCTGGTCTTGACTTCAGGGTCTTCAAGCGAGTGCCCCACCGGGCCCTCTCAGGAGTGTGGGGATTATAGGGTGAGCCCCCAGTGCCTAGCCTCATGCTCTCCCACTTTCTATGTACGCCTCGTCTGCAGGGAACTCCAACACTGGACTCTTGCGGCTCTGCTTCCTCCAAGGGAGTCAGTCTCCAGTCTCCAGGGTGAGGACGAGGGGTGGTGCGCTGGGCAGGAGAGCATTCGTTGCCAGTTCCCAGTGGTCAGACCTGGGCTGCAAGTTTGTTCTGAGAGCTCTCCAGAAGCCAAGATACACTTGAGCCCGGGATCGACAAGTGCCTGCCTCGGAACCATCAGCGGTAAGGGGAACCCTGGGCCCCCGGGGGACCAGCAATTCTGCATTGGGACCCAGTTTCCACCTCAACAGCAATCCCTACCATCCTGCCACAGGCTGGTTTTGAACTCCTGACCTCGAGCAATCCGCCCGCCTCGGCCTCCCAGAGAGCTAGGATTACAGGCGTGAGCCACCGCACCCGGCCTGCCTGTCACTTCTTACTCCCGACACAGTGCTCAGGGCTGCGGCGCCGGGCGAGTCTTGAAATCTGGTCGTGTAGGTCCTTCGCGCCGCTTCTCTCTAAGAAACAGTCCTTTGATTTTCACAGAATCAGTTCATCAGTTTCTGCCAAAAACTCGCTAGGGTATTGGCTGTGAGTGCGTTGGATGTGGCTTCTGCTCTGCTCTGGCTTGGGTCTCTTCTAGCAGTTTTTTCCCTCTGCCCCCCTAGGACCTGTCTCCTCCACGGCTCCTGGAACTGCTCCAACTGTGCCTGGGACTTCTGTATCAAGCGTGGCTATCTCAGGAGGTCCCACTGCCACCATAGCTGGAGAGGCCACCACGTCCCCTGGGCTCTGCGTCCTGACCAGTAAGGCGCCCTCGTTGGCATTGGCATCTCACTCACAGTGAGAGGCTGCTGGGGCCTATTCTCTCTTGCTTCCCAGCAGCCACCCCTGGCCCTGCAGCGGCAGTTCAGGGACAGTCGCTAGTGCCTGCTTTCAGCTGCATTTTGAGCCTATCTGAGGATGTCCCTTAAACACCTC